ATTGTCTTGTTTACTATACTTACCTCATCCTCCACAAAATAAAAAAGGAAGGGAGATTGTAGCGTAGGAGGTAGCAATGCAGTAAATCTCCTTGCACTTATTTTAGATGGGTTACAGCCTTTTATTGTGAATGAGATGTGATCTTTCGTATATGTGACTGATAGTACACTTTGTCTAATATGTTCAAATTATCAACTCTTGCCATTTTGAAGCACAAAATGTTGTTCTTTTTTCTTTTTCTTTTTTCCTTTTCTAAGAAATATAGCTACTACTGCTCACCTCTGTGCATATTGATGAATTCAGTTGTATTCATAATACCCATGCACTGGCCATTGTTCTATACCTGAAGGCATATATAACAATCTGAATATCGTATTTTGATCTGATTACTATGCGTTTTACTTCTTTCAGATGCATTCTCTATATTTTTTTATAATTTAATTATGTGTTGTATAAATGAATGTTATGGATCTTGTCAATTCCTCAAAGTTCAAATAAAGATGCAGATATGTTTTTATTTGATCAGACATCGAGGTTACGAATTCCGCTTCTTGTGAGCATTATGAGTTGTCTTTGCCACAAACAAGGTTTCCACTTTAAAATCCTTCCATCTTATTTGCGCCAAGATCTTCAGAGAAAAAGATATCTTCAAGTTCTTTTGTTAGGAATGGTTTTCAAATAAAAGTAATCCCCTCAAAAGTTAATCCATCCATAGAGCCACTGGATGACAAGCATTTTCATTTGTTGTTATTTTATGTTCGTTTATTTAAAGTTGGACAGAATGCTCAATTTATTTGAGACGTTTAAGTTTCAAACTATTTTCTTTCAGAATTTGATTTCTTTGCTCGTTGATAAATAATAGGTCATAAGTTGATCTAGAATGAAGATTTAACAGAAATTACACTTTACAGAAGGATTCAAACATCACTTTCGTCATAGGCGTTGAGATTTGGTTGTTTCGAAAAACTTGATCTCAATGTCGTTTCGCACAATTCCTCGTTTGAACCTAAAGAAGACTTTGCTATTTGTGTGCGATATGCAAGAAAAGTTCAGGTAGGTTATGATCCAATTACAAACAGTGTGCAGCCATGATTTATAGTTATGCGACGACCCCCAAAAATTCCATTGTTCACTAGTTGCATTGACCTGTATGTAAGACACATCCAGATGGAAGGGTCGAAAGTCTATATCCATCAATATTACATAAACATTCAGGACTTAACAACGTAATTTCAAAATTTCCCTTCAAACAAACCTACATGACACTACCGGATTTTTGAATGTTTCTCCCCAGTTCTGGAGAATTTTAAAATAACGGTGTAACGGGTAGGCACCAAAAATGTAGAAAGAGTGAAAAGAAACAAGACTGGTGTTCATAGAGTAGTTGTAATTACTAAATATATAGCTAAAGTTCCGATCCACACTTTTGGCATGGTTAAGATTTTAAGGGTGAGAAAAAGAAAACCTTCAGTTGAAATCAATTCAACAAGTTGTAATTATCTCAGTGAGAAGGGGTAGCATTGTAACGCATCTGGCTTCTAGTTCAAATAAGGTATTTTTAGTGTCTTTCTAAATAGGCGTGTTTTCCAAAAATATCAAATATTACTTTGCTTTCTGAAAACAATCTTTTCTACTCAAGTAAGATGTTGCTTAAATGATAGTTTCCAGCGGTTCCATCAGATATGATTGGAGTAATACAACACATAAAAGAGGAATTTTTTGTTAGAAACTATCGTGATGTGATTTTCAGTAAAACGAACAAGTTTTTCCCGGAGATCACTCAAACTGCGAAGCGCATGATTGATACGGCGAAGATTTTGCAAGTGCCCATCGTCGTCACCGAGCAGTATCCACAACGGCTTGGTTCAACCGTAAAAGAGCTCGGGTTGGACGATAGCATTCCTCGCTATGCGAAAACACAAGTAAATTGAAATGTTCGTTTCTAGCTGGTTAACGCAATTGTAACTCTACCCCCTCGGTTGAAAAGTCTGGAAAATTCCCCTCTGTTCTAGTTCTCGATGTGCGTCCCAGAGGTGAATCCTCTTCTGAAGGACAAGGAGAGCGTAATTCTTGTTGGCATTGAAGCACATGTATGCATTTTGCACACGGCCTATGCTCTTCTCGAAAAGGGTCTCGATGTTCATGTTGTAGCAGACGCAGTAACCGCGAGAACGCTGACCGATAGGTTGTATCACATAATTTTTCTGACTCCGTTCCATAATCTGGATTTGTAGGAAATTTGCTTTCAAACAACTGGAGCGTGCTGGAGCTATCTTGACAACTTCTGAATGTGCAATCTTGGGATTGGTGAAGGATGCTGCTCATCCCAAGTTCAAAGAGGTGCAAAAGCTTATCATGACTGAAGCTCCGGATTCAGGACTACTTGATATGTAAAAGGCATTAAACGCTTTTATTTTCTAATTACCCATTCAAATGTCCTTTGCTCAATATCTAGCCTAACTTGTTTTAGCCCTATTATACTTTGTGATTTTTTGTATTCTCTTTATTTTACACGTTTGGTAATTCAAGAGAATACTGCAAGAAAGTTTATAAGAGTTTTGTTCGATGGGAATTTTACATATTGCAGTTTTTTTCTCCTAATAGAATAAATGTATTGTAATTGCTTCGATAAAGGGTAAAATAGAGCACTTTCTTCAAGCATTCAATGTGGCTTCGATGGAAGATTTTCCCCTGGGAGATTAGTCTGCCTTCTCTCACGAGATCCTCAGCTCTCCAACGAACATCTAGCATAATCAATAACCTTCAAAAAATAATGCTAAAAGGCTGTCCAGTGATTGAAAATGTCCCATAAGAAAATCGAAAACGATCAAGGAGGATCGTATAAGGCCCTTCTTAAAATAGATATCGAGAATAGATGAGCTGTATTGATGTGTTAGGAAGAGAAAAATCTATTTTCCAATTATTCGCAGAGTTATAACCGCTGATTGTTCGCTTGTTGTCAAACTTAGCTCACTTAAATGTATTGATGAAAAGATATACTCAAGCTTGAGAGTGTCTTTCTGCAAGAACAGAAAACTGAGTTAATGATCCCCAGAATTATATTAGGTGGTTGAATGTCACCTGGAAGAGAACTGGCAGACAAGCGAATGACTTTAGAATCACCTTTGAGGCCCGCTTTTCGGTCCTGATAGCAAATTAAATATGCGACAATGGGAAATACCGCTAGATTCGCTAGCGCTTCACCAACGAGAATCGTGATGGAAGTTAAAAAGATTGAAAGCTGTGATCACTAATATCGAAACTCAACCATTAAGAAATTCAAGGTATCTGTCCTACCAGCGCTATGAAGAAGTCCTTTTTGTTCTAAATGTAGTTTACATCATTCCTCCACCTTCTCCTACTCTTCTCTCCATGTTACCATATATGACCGGGTGTTGAGACTCTTGGACGAAGGGTGGGCCCGTGTAAGAAACAATGAGAAATTTGATATACAAGATATTGGTGGTTCAGTGTTTATTGTGAATACTGTACCGAGAACAACGAGTATGACCTTA